GGTTTTCTTTTTATTGTTTGCAGAAACGTTTTCACATGCACTCTCTCTCTCTCTCTCTCTCTCACACTCTCTCCTTAGGCTTGATCCTGCAGGTGGTGAGAACATCACCCACATGGGAAGCTCGTAATTTAGTATTTTTAGTTGAGGTGTTGTTTACTGTGATTAGTTAGTACTGAATTTTGGGGACTGGTCACACAACTTCCAGTCAGTGGCTCATGCCTGGGAGGTGCAGTAAGGCTGTGTTATTGCCAACAAGGATAGACAGACAGACAGTTCTAGACAGCCAATTGTGTATTATATTTGTAAGATATGTCTGTGGCATGAACATAGGAAATTCAAGCATTAGTTTCCCTATGGTTCAAAGAGGTACTTTTGTAGCAAGAAACTCTAGTGGAGGCCATGAAGGAGCAGAGAAGAATAAGTCTTTTACAAGAAGAAATTTATTTTTTCCCATCTCTTCACATCTTAGAAGAAAAAAGAAATGCATTGAGTATCAGGAATACCAGCAGCAGTAACACTGAAACCAATTCTTCCCAGCATGGTGAGGACAGTAACAACAGGTCCCTGAACTGCACAGCCAATTTCTTTCTTGCCCCACAGCTGCTCACCAAATTCCCTCCAGTTTCTGCTGACTGAGACTTGTTTTGAAATACCCATTTGTAGGTAAAGCATCTGCCTTACTGCTAAGGCTTCTGGCCTAAGAACTTCTGCTAAGGAACATGAGACCTCCTGAGAACTGCTTCTCATCAGGCACTGACACCTTTTTTTTTTTGGAGCATTTCAGCATCTCCACTGTATCTGTTTTTAAACATGTCGTACATCAAGTGAAGCAACGGCACTTCCCAGAACCATTTCCCACATCCAGAAGTCTGCCTGTTCCTTCTTGTCCCACAGCTTCAGGTAGCTGCACCCAGAGAGCATTATCCCTAACAAAAAAAAAGTACTGCTCCTTCCACCTCCGTACAGAATTGTACTCCAGGGCAACTGCTCTGGGAATCTTGGCACAACAGGAGGGCATCATCTAAGCCACGCTGTGCCACAGATGCCATCTCCTTGCAGCAGTTTGGGTTTGACCAACAGCCCAGCTGCTGATGCACCCTCACTGCCCATCCCCCGGGCTGCTGGGAATGAGCAATGCCCTTTCCTAGAGGCAGAAACTCAAAGCCCAGGGACATTCAGGATTTTGACAATGCAAAGTGCAAACATTTGAAAAACATACCATAGACTAGCTGTCTACACATTTAGACTGCACGTTCTCACCACGGTGCCAGACGACTGCCACCACCTTCTCTGCCCAGTGACACTTCACAGGGACTCACCTCTCTTCCCCCATCCATCACAGCGTGGCCTGAGCACACTGCTTCCCATAGCCCTGCCACTGCTTAGGCTCCCCATTTCTCCACCCTTCCCAGCCTGGAGCAGGCCTGCCCACCACAGCAGCTGCACGTTATCACCACAGTGCCAGACGACTGCCACCACACTTCACAGGGACTCATCTCTCTTCCCCGTCCGTCACAGCATGGCCTGGGCACAGTGCTTCCCATAGCCCTGCCACTGCTTAGGCTCCCCATTTCTCCACCCTTCCCAGCCTGGAGCAGGCCTGCCCACCACAGCAGAGCAGGCCAGCAGGTACAGGGAGCCAGGCGTGCAGTCACCTCCCACCCCCTTCCCAGCACAAAAGCCACAGCGGCGCTTGGGGGTCCCCCCATCAGCCCATGAGGCACAGGCCTGCAGAGACCCCACGCTGTCACATCACACATCAGCTCAGATATTTTGCTGGATTTATCATCCTTTCTCAGTTAGGGGCATGCCATGCAACATTTATATTTTATCCTTTTCTCCATGTACTGACACAATGAAAAAGTGGCACAAAGCATGGAGTGGAAGCTCTCCCCACGAGCCTGCTGAAGGATAGGTATTCACATCAGCTATTTGCTGCCAAAAATAGCAGGAAACCTGAGCACTGAACAGGAGGAGATGGCATGGGAAGAGCCAGGGGACTCATTTATGGGTTACTCTGTCTTTGAGCAATTCCTATTTGTTCAGTACTGGGGTTGTTGGAAAGGTTGTCCCATCTCAAATTGGCCATCAAACCTACAGATCTATCGTGCTGAAAAGCAGTACAGCCAAAGTTTAGCATGCTTGCAAAAATACCACTGGCTCCTCCCAAAACTGCAGTATTTTCAGGTACACTGATCTGTGAAAAACAGAAATATACAGGTATCCATGCTGGCAGATAGCAGATCACTGTTAAGGGTCCTTTGTAACTTCCTCCAAATGCACAACTGTTAGAACTGCAGCACACAGCATGACCAAATTCTGTCAAGACACTTTTTAAAGTTTTTAAATTCCTAAGACAGGTATTTCCTTTTCAGCTTAAACTGAAGATTTGTTACCATTCTTGAACAGGACAAGCAGTCTTCCAGAAAAGCTTGTCTTAAATATGTTGCAATGCTTCAGCCAGCAGGAGAAGCTATGACCGAAAAGCCCCATAAATTTTATCAAGGATTATGTGTGCTTTAACAGTACATTAACTTCTCATCTATCTTCTTAAAAGATTTCACCACTCCAGCCGTTTAGTTTCCCAGTAGGGAAGACCCAGAAACAAATCTATTAGCCCTGTGAATAACATCATGCAACTCATCCACATCAAAATGCCTTCCTTCAGTGTAAGCTGCATGATTAATGCTGTAGCAGCGCTTGCTCACTGTGCTAGTTCCACTCAGGGGTAGCTATGTTTCATTTTACTGTTATTCTAGTATGATCTAGTTTTGATAACATCTACACCCGATTTTTCTATTATTTTTTAATGCATAGAAAGTGTTTCTGGTCCTGGTGGCAGCCCATGCCAGCTGCACCAGGTGGTCTTGTCCAGGAACTCTCTGTAAGGCTCTGGAGATCTCCACACCAGCAAGATTTTCCTGAGCTCTAACCTCAGTCTGCTCCATCACTATCTAAGCCACTTATTTCTGGCTTACCCTTATCTGTGCATCACAAACATTAAAAAATCAGCCTTTGCACAGAAAAGATATATTCCTTAGAAATATTTCTGTGTATATTATATTCTCTTGTCCAGTTCTTCTCCAAAGTGAACTACCATCCCTTACTTCCTCTTCTACCTTCTCTCAACTGGGAGCTGCTGAGCCCAACCTGGGCACTAGCTCTGGAGGAAAGAGGGAATCCTGAGCATGGACCAGCAGGGCTGGCTGTTCCCTTTCCATTGTAAATCTTCCTGATCCCACCCATCTTACACCTGCCTGTTTGTCTGCGTGAGAGCTGCAGCACTGAAGGAGCATCCCTGCCTCCAGGGCCTCTCTTTGGGATGGAGGGAGAGGAGCTGTGTGACTGTCCTCTGTGCAAAAAGGAACACCTAAAATAATGTTTGAGTCAACCTGTAATTGATGTCCTTGCACATGCAGCTCCTTCCCAAATACAAACCCACTCCTGCCTGGCATTTTGTCACATTTTAAGTGAGACCACTCAAGCTGACACCAGCCTTTGCACAGCACTGCACCCACTTGCAGAAGATGGTGTCAGGCATAGTGGGAGGAACTCCCATGTCATGGGTGCAGAGTCACCCCATAGGCTGTGCTCCAAAAAGTGTCCTAAATCTGAGAGCACAGAAGAGCAGGTTTAGCACTGGTCATAGAGCTAGACCAGCCAGCTGCAGAAGTCACTTACTGAGCCCTTTAACAGTACCCTAGCAAATATTTTTTTCTTTTTATGTGGCTTTCAGGGACAATATAAGATTTAATAACGTTACTTGAAAGGCATCGAAATTTTGGTGCTCTTCAGCCTATTTCCTAAAATTGCAGCTCTGTCTTTCAACTTTTATCTAAAAAGAAAAATACTCTGGCCTACCCATGCTAGCAGAAGGACTCTTACACAAAGGAACATGGCCAGCCACAAAGACCACAAATTTTAAAAGATTTTTCAATGTTACACCTTTTAAAACCCATTTGGCAACTTGAGGAGGGCCCAGCATCAGTTTCCTTAGTCTGTACCACTGTGCTCAGACAGCATCACTTGAAGCCACCACACCACAGATTGAGCTGCTGGGGGGGGCACTTGGTAACGTGGTTCAGTTGCAATATTGAAAAGCCAGCTTCCACCCCTGGCACAGCCCTCACACACAGCAGTGCCCTTTCACAGGCCAACACGCCAGCAAACAAAAAGCACAGCACACATCCCACCACCCCTGGCCAAGAACATCTCTTTATTGCATTACATATTATTGTATTTAGTCAGATTCTCTGCTTTGCCACTGTAGTGCTGTACTAACACTTCAATACTAGGGAATGGCTTCACCTGTGGCAAGACTTTTGTAGCACAAGCAGACCATTCCTCCAAGAAACCTGAAACCATCTAGTAGTCCAGCAGGGATTTGGCAGCAGCAGGACTGTCCCTACAGACTCTGACCCTCCCACTCTTGCCAGGAAGTGGTCACCTGCTTATCAGTTGCCAGAGTTCTGTGTTTTCTACCTTAACTCTCTCTGCAGTTTGAAATTAAATTATCTGCTTCAACATGGGCTGAAAACACACACCAACACAAGAGCACAACCAGGCAGACTGGCTGCATGAGCTGCACTTCCAGAAGCTGTTGTAAGGAATGCCAGGACAGAATTGCAGCCAAACACAGCAAAATTTGGCACAACTGGATGTGTTTGGGGAGCTTGCTGTACTCTGTGATCTTATAGAGTAGAGGGAAGGAAGAGAGCTTAGACTAATGACACAAAGGTTCAGAGGCTGCAGGGAAGCCAATTTAGGTATTAAACCTCATTAATGACCAGTATCCAATATTTTGGGTTTGTGACTGTGCTGATAAGATGCATATAAAGTCAACTTTATAAGTGGGATTTTAGTACTAACTGATAAAAGAAGAAAACCCTCAGAGTCCTCTGACAGCAGGGTCTTCACATCATTTTGGGAGAAGTGCTATTTAGATATTGCTAAAAAAGTCCCAAGTCTGGCAAAAACCTCTACTTCAAAACCCTGAGCAGCTCTTAAGTACATCTTGCACAGTGGTTGCCATTGGTCCAGGAGGCCAGTCATGCCCTGGCCCTATCCTAAAAAAAAGCAAGTTATATCCAGTATTCTCTTTCTCCACCCAGCACTGACTCAGCTCACACACTAATCAAGCAAGATTAGTAGGACAAAGTCCACATTGTCTGATATTTCAGTCACCCCACAATATCCCTCTAAAATCCATGGGTGACAACTAAGTGACACGAGCATTGCAAATATGCAACGTTCATTTCTAATATTTGAGATGACTTTTCAAGCACAATCTTAGACCTGCCCTGGTGGCAAGAACACCCCTTGCTCCTACTTTATAGATAATGCTGTGGGGGAGGGGTTTTGACCTCCCAGCCCCCCTAAAGATGGGCCTTACCTTGTTTAGATTCCTCTCAGGAGGAGAGAAAGATCTTCATTTCAAAGACACTTTTAATTTTCAGTGAAATACTTGGACATGGCAGGTGATAGCAGACAGTTGTGCAAGATGAGTTTGTGCCACAAAAACCTGTAGTTGTAGCACAGATGCTCACTCAAGTCTTACAGTTCTGAGTACATACTTACCATCCTTGATCACTGATAAACCACAACACGTTCCCCAGGGCATAATCACTTCAAATACAATCATACAAACCTTGGGGGGGAAGGATGGGGTGATGTTCTTATTTGGTTGGGTGGGGGCTGTGGGTTTGTTTGCCTTTTTTTTTTATATTAGAAAAAAAAAAAAGTGCATTTCTCAATCTTTCACCTCACTGCAAATCTTTTGTCCTTTCCAGGTAATATTATTGGTTCTGGGATCTTTATTTCTCCAAAAGGAGTTTTGGAGCACACCGGCTCGGTGGGACTCGCTCTCATTATTTGGGTGCTTGGCGGCGGGGTGGCTGCCCTTGGCTCGTTATGTTATGCTGAACTGGGAGTCACTATCCCCAAATCAGGAGGGGATTACTCCTACGTCACAGAGATTTTTGGTGGGTTAGCTGGGTAAGTACCTTCTCTCTCTAAAGTAATTTGAAAACATGTTTATATTAAGTGTTCGGTGTGGAAAAGACGTTTGACTTTGAAGAGACAGAACGTTTGTCAATAAAAAGCTTTTCAAAAGTCATTCTTTTTGTTCTCATTAGAAATACTAAATCACCCCCATGCAGAGCTCCCAGGGCTGCCTTCCAGGGCAAGGTGATGGACACTTTCACTCCCCCCCTACTCAAAGTCCATGAGAGGAAAGAATGATGCTGTAAACGATGCTGTGTGCACGTGACATCCCTGTGTTCAGCTATAAATGACCAGAGCCTTGTGTGGAGGAGCTTCACACATCAGGGAAGCCAGGCTGGAGCTACTTGCATGAACCAAAGCTGCTTGCAGTGCTGCTTCACTTATGGCAACTATACAACAAGTGTTGTAAATACAAACACACAAAACTGCATAAGCACTCACAAATCCTCTCCCAGGAATGTTGCTGCGAGGGAGGGCAGAACCATCAGAGTTTCACAAAACCAGAATTATGCTTACCAGGGGAGAAAAATAAATTGATAGGAATTAAGTACAACTAAACCTGGCTTTAGTTTTTCCTCAGCTCGCTCAGCACTGCAGATCCTCTTCAGGAAGTTTGCATGATACCAGAACACACCCGGCTATGCACCTGCTGCAACAAGCCGTGTGCCCGTGGATTGATCCCTGCCCAGCGTTTAGCAGGGGGCAGAGCAACGCTCTCGTCTGCCAAGGCGGGGAGCTCTCTCACCTGCTGTGGCAGAGAGCTCCTCGCCTGGGCTCCAGGCTTGCAGTGCACCACCGGCAGCAAAAGAGCACAACCTTGTCAGCCGAAGGGAAGCCGTGCTCCCGTTCTTGCTTTTGCAGAAAGACTTTACCTTTTCTTTCAAGAAATTAAACCTTACTGTAAGTATGACAAATGGTTGCCTTAGGCAAGAAACCTGCAGGTAGGTTTTGGTGTAAAAATGCAGGGCTCGTTCATGTCTCCCCTTAAAGCCAGGCTGGTGTTGCACCCTGATGGATTTTGCTGAGCCACCACCCAAAGCCTGCAGCTTTTGGGGGCTCTCACAAGCACCTTCGATTTTCCACTTCAGAAGCACCCATTCCCCTGCTGGCACTCATGTGCAGGGCTCCGAGCTGGAAGGGACCCTTCAGGAGCCTGCACTGGGCCTCCCTCGAGGGGGGAAAAGAAAAAAAAAGGAGCACACGTTGTATCCACTAAGACCACATTTCCACTTCTGTGGTCTTGTCCCTGCCCCCCAAAATCTTCACCATTTATTGTGTTTTCCTGCATATGGATAAGGAGCAAAGAAGTAATATTTGATCATAACAGCCATTGGAGTACTACATGCACCTCTGCCTGGCAGTATTGGTGGTGGGTGGTAAATTTTAAAAAAAAGTCATTGAGCAAGAGACAGGAGAGGAACATCTCCTGAGCTGGCAGAAGCTCTGGCTGCAGAGCATGTGGCCCTCTTCAGAGTCCAAGTACAGCTAAAGGACACTGCATGAAATGCTGATGGAAGCAGTGCTGATGGCACAACCTGGCTGGAGATGACCCTGCAGAAGGGACACTCCTCCCTGGCAGCTCCGTCCAGGGGAAAAGAAAGAGGTGAGGGAGGGCTCCTGCTCTGGTACCAGAGCACAGACTTTCTGCCTTCAGCCTTGTTTAAAAATGTGGGGTTTAAATGGCACCTGTGTCTGAGCACAGTGACTGCAGGGATGTGCCACGTACCATGCTGCTGGAGCCATCCGAGCACAGCTCATCTCACATGTCTGTACAGGTCATTCAAAAAAAAAAATTACCCAAAACAGTAAATAAAAGGTTTAATATGCATTCTTGCAGAACACAATGAATTCATTCAGCTTTATGAAAAACCCACTAGTGCATTTCTGATAATAATAATACAGCACCTGAATGCTCAGCAGTAATGTTGCAACTAACATACCTGCTTCAGCAGCAGTGACTGGTAACGGGCAGAGATGCTCACTAAAAATCAATAGCATTGAAATCAGCAGAGAGCTCTAGGCCAAAGCTTTGATAAGTGTCCCTCCAAACTGCAAGTAAAACATGCTTCAAATATACTTCTGTTTCCTTTTTGTTGTTATGGTTGCAAAAATCTTGAGTTCCCAAAGGCAGTAATTCTTTTCAACAACATAAGATGCTAATAATATTCAAACTAGCTCCAGCTGTCTTAAACCAGTTCAGCTTTTCCCATGCACATTGATGGGAGGATAGCCATCAACATCAGTGGACTCTGGAGCAGACTGAACAACAAAAAACACAGCAGAGACCATCGAGCTAGAAGCTGTTGGTGCTCATTATGCACAACCATGGTTTGCCCAGGATACTGCCAGGGAGGTTATTTTACCAGCCCTTTCACCATCAGCAAATGCAGGAGCTCTGATTTCCCACACAAACACCAGTACTCACTAAAAAAAAGAAAAAAATTTTTAAAAAAATCATAAGAGCAGCTACATCTTCCTTTTCTGCTACATTCAGCTGTCTCAAGCCTGTTTCTAAAGGTTTGCTCACTTTTTAGTCAGCAAGGAGAGAAGATTTAACTTCTCAGGTTCTTGTAGTGCTGGAAATTACAGAGTAACTGTGGAAGCCTATCAGGCAGGGTTTGGCTCCCCACACACTCAGTGCCACAACTCAGTCCTTGGGGCAGTAATCCCCCCTGTTCCCATTTGAATAGCTGGGCAAAGTAACCCCAGATGTACCACGATGGCATCTCTCTCCTTCAAGCTGGACTTTGGGCTCCCCAGCAAAGTTCTGGTTGCCCTCCCTCTGCACAACTGCCGAGGACAGAAAGCACAACTGCAGCCCTTCAGCTTGCACCTCAGTTTGTCAAACTGCAAGCACCACAATAGCAAGGACATCTGAAACTCGGTTATGTCTGCCAGAAACTTCAGCCGTGCCACATAAACTAATTACAGCTCAGCTCTAACAATTGTTCTTTTCTAAGGAAATGGTACTCGACTCTTCCTATGCAACAGATGGTGTACAAGGTGGTGTTTTAAGAGCAAAGGCTTCTGAGAAGACTCAGGAGTGTTGGGTAATCATATGGGGATTAATTCCTGCCTGCCAGCCAGGGCAAACACCACCTCCCCACAAGCAATTTAACCCAAGAACAGCCATCCCCAGCCTGCTGGGCCTCCAGTTCCCCATCCTGCCACCAGCAGCCTCCCAGCACTGCAAGAGCAAGGCAAGTGCTCAGCAGCACAGCCCCAATCCCAACAGCTGGATGCTCAGGGACATAAATGTGAGCTGAGTTACCAGCATGAATACCTTTTTCTCAGAACCAGGCTTTGGTTAAAACTTACCTGAAAAAAAAAATAAAACAGATTAAAGTGAGCGTACATCTTAGAATTAAAATAAGAAGGAAGCTTGCCTGTCTTTCAATTGAGCTTCCCATTTGATAGTGCAGCTTTGTCACCTTTTGCTAAAATTCTGCATTTACTTGAACTGGGGTTATCAGTCCTGCATGTATTTCAATTCAGCATGAAAAAAAAATTGGCTGTCAGAAATCTACTGAATTATTCACATTCCAATTGAACTGTATTCTACTGAATGCCAGCTGTAACACACCCCATGTCACAACACAGAAGCAAGGGCAAATTTTGCCTGAAATACTATTTTCAGAGTCATTCTCCCCACTGCATGTTTGTAGCAGAACAGTTTTGGGCCTACAGAAATTGTATGGGCTAAGATAAATGTGGCAAGGAAGAGCTAGTGGCTCCTGCCCACCAAACCCACAGCCCCACAAGATGTGCCTCTGCCTAAGCCCTGACAGCAGGACTGCTGGGCACACATAGCTTGGGCAGTGAGGGCTGAACCTGACCTCACTCAGCACCACTAGTATCTTAACCCCATCAGTGAATTATTGCTGCAGTCCTTAAGTCACACATAGTCATCAGGGGGGACCAACTCCCCCAGCAAGCAGGGTCTGTAGAGCTACCCAAAAAAAACCAAACTCTGAGTTTTAGAAACAATGGTGCCATTTGGGAAGGTAGCCAGCTCTTACTTCATGCCAGTGAGCTACCCCAAATTATGTACACCACCCACAGCACCAAATAGCACAAAGCAATTACTGGAGGAAACTGCTCTAAACCATGATGTAAAACACTAGAAACCAAAGAAAAAGAAAAACCAAACAAACTCTGAGTTTTAGAAACAATGGTGCCATTTGGGAAGGTAGCCAGCTCTTACTTCATGCCAGTTTACCAAGTTTGCTCTCGAGCAGTTAGTAGGAAAAAGGAAGCATCACATTGCACCATACTTCTCAGAAACAACAAAGCAACGACGCAGAGGATAGAGCTGAAAGACACTCACCACCTCAGCCCAAGGAGCACCCAGGAAGCAGCACCAGGAGGGACTCCCCCAGCTGAGCCAAATTGAAAGGGCTGGCAGCAGGCAGCGTTCTGGGAGGGAGAAGCCTTTAAAGGACCAACCTACATAATCTAGAAATTATACCATCTTATTTGGAAATATCAATTCTGATTCTTGTTTGTGCTGGGCCTCACTGCACGTTACCTTTGTGCATGGATATGAATGTGTATGTATCTCTGTGTGCATGTGTGAGGCAAGAAGGATTTTGCTTCCTTGTACTGACTATTTCTTACTACAGAAATAATAATACTCCAAATATTTTAAAACACTAACCAGATCCGCTGCTGCTTTTATAAGTATTTTTTATCCTTTTCCGAGGGCAAGAAACCAAAATATCTCACACTTTATATTTGCAAAGGTTTCTCAGTTGGTGCCATCACCTTCAGCCAGAGCTGGAGGGAGACACCCAGCCCAGCTGAACCTCAAGGAATACTGTAGCACTAAGCTGCCCTGACCCAGGTCACAGAGCCAACCTGAACAGTGACAAGAAACTCTCCAATAACCAGAAGGGAGTTGGTAGCAGCCCCAAGAGTGCAGCTGGAAGCCCTGCTGAAATCCTTCAGAGATGCCTTCAATGTAGGGACTGCTGTCTGCTGCAGTAACACATCAACCCAGGAGCAACAGGGATGCTTTCACTTAGACATACAGAGCTAGATCAAACTGTCCCCACTGGGCATAATCCTCACCCTTCCATACATCCCTAAACTGTGCTTGGCTCAGAAATGTTTCATTTAAAATCCAGATTATGCTGGGAACACTGTGGATAGGATGAGGAGGGGCACAGGTAGACGACTGTCAGGTGTGACCAGGACGTAGGTACTCAGTCCTGATGCCTCTAGAGCCATCCCAAAGCAATGCACAGCTGAGCATGCACTAGGTCCTCCAGCACACCTCCAGCGCTGCTTTCTTCTGCTTTTTCCCTGTCTTTTCAGGTTTCTGCTGCTCTGGAGCGCAGTGCTTATCATGTACCCAACCAGTCTGGCTGTCATTGCGCTGACTTTCTCAAACTATGTCCTGCAGCCCGTCTTCCCTAACTGTATCCCCCCCTATAATGCCTCCAGGATCCTCTCCATGGTGTGTTTACGTGAGTATTCGCTTCTCGCGCACACAAAACGCTTGCCTCAGTTTTACCTGAGACCCCTCGAGGGGCTGCTCCAGCCAGGCTGGGGTCACGGCCACAACCCAAAAGGCACCACGACCAGTGCAGGATTCAGTCCCTTCCACCTGCCCACGGCGAGCACAGGGGGCTGGAGCAGGACACAACAGCACCTGAGTCCCTGCGGGTCCTAGGGAAAGTGGCAGCAGGTGAGCACGTGGGACGGGCAGAGCTGTGCTCCCTGCAGAGCCAGGGGCACCTGGCATGGGTCACCACCAGCACAGCTTACCCACTGGCATGGGTCACCACCAGCATGGCTTACCCACTGGCACAAGCTACCCACCAGCATGGCTTACCCCCTGGCACAGGCTACCCACCAGCATGGCTTACCCACCACCATTGGAGCCCTTCTAGTCTTCTTTTACCTTTGCGAATGAGCAGGTAGGATGCGCAGCACGCCACCAGCTCTGCATTAATGACTTATGGAGCCAGCAAAAGCAAACCAGATCTATGGGGACTGAAGGTGTTTGGAGTTCCCATGAGGAAGCCGTGATCCCTGCACGCTGAGCACTACCCAGGCTCAGTCGTGAGAGCTGGGAGAGCCCTGACTGGCAGTGCCAGAGGTGGGATGTCTCCTAGAGAAAGCTGCATGTCTCCTAGGGAAAGGCAACATCCCTCCTCACCCTCACTCCTGGCCACACTAGAGCTCCCTGCAGTAGTCTGCATCAGTCTGTTTTCAAATGCTTTGACTGTGTGTTCTTAAATAAATATCATTTCATTTTACTGAATTCAGTCTTTTGCTCTCCAGTCCTCCTGACCTGGGTGAACAGCTCCAGCGTTCGATGGGCAACACGCATACAGGATATATTTACAGCAGGAAAACTCTTAGCCCTGGCCCTTATCATTATTGTGGGCTTCATACAGATCTTTAAAGGTACTCTGTGAGACAGCTCTAACACGGGTATGGTACTGTTGATAGATTTGATTTTACCCACTTACTGCACTGTTTTCTCCTTATAAACTGACCCACAAGAGCACTGGGGCTGCTGTGGAGAGGATAGCACAAGGGAAAAATCAGCTGTATCCCCTTAAACAAGTCCCTTTCTGTCCCACCTTGTCGTTTTTGATAGAATAAAGAGGGGCAGCTGAGGATGTTTCAGAAAAGTTACTGAAATTTTACAATTTGTTGTACATTCCTTAAATTTAAAGTGCTCTGAGTGTAAAATGAATAAGCAATGCCTTGCCCAGGGCAGGAAAACATCTGTTTCATTTTGGGTACTCATCCAATTTCCTACAAAAAGTCATTTATAAGATTAAAAATAGAGGAAAAGAAGTCTCATTTACTCACCAACTAAATGGAAAGCAGAAAACACAAAAGGCTGGCAATGTTTTTAATGTGTATATGATGAGTCATGTAAAGGAAGATGAAAAATGACATTTACAGAGAGCTGACAACTTGCTTTCTCAGTGGTAATAGTCCCACAATCTGGACAAATCTTCTAGCCCCCTAGACCTTTTATTTTTCAGTATTTGTACTAAATAACACCACCACACTTTTGTAAAAGAAAACCACAGGTAGGAATTTACCCTGCCAAAGAGCCACCCTCAGACAGTGCAGGTTGGCAGAAGGTCCCATGAATGGCAGTGGTGACTCTGGTGCTGCAGCACAGCCAGAAGTGAGGGGTGTCTGTGTGTGCAGCCCCAGGACACCGTCCCCCTGAAAGCACTGCTAGTGCAATGCCAGCCTCTGGTAGCATGAAGAGCATCACGTCCTGAATCCAGTAAGGACTAAAGAATAAAAAGCAAAAGTTTACCTATTTTCTGATGTCTTTGGTAAGTAGAGGTAGCTTAACCTCTTGCTTGTGCTCTCTGTGCAGGAAACTATGAAGAGCTGACACCAAGCCATGCATTCAATTTTTGGATGACTCCAACCGTGGGGCATTTAGCGTTAGCTTTTCTTCAAGGGTCTTTTGCATTCAGTGGCTGGAACTTCTTGAACTATGTAACAGAAGAATTGGTTGATCCCTGCAGGCAAGTATCCATCTCCATGCCATCCACATTTTCTTGAAGTGCTGAAATGTTGGAGCTATCTGGTAATGTTATTCATTTAATAAGCTGCAGTGATGTCCTTCCATGTCTATGAGACTGGACTTTCTGAAGATGAGAGATATGTCTTCCTTAGAACAGGTAGCAGACAAGTTAAAGAAATACTGAAATTAAATTAATGCATAAGGCATTAGCTGAATCAAACCAGCCTATAGAAAAAAAAACAGTATCTTTATGGCACTATTCAATCATACAGTGCTTCCATAGCAGAAAATGCCACATAAGTACCTGTAGGGAGAATCACTCCTGTTAGAAAAATGTTGAATGATGCTGGAAGTCCCTTTGCTTTTTCACCCAAAGGGGATCTTCCACAGACACCTGAAAGTGAACATGAGAAGCTCATTGCAGGCAATGCTCCCTGCCCCAGTGCAGCTGCAGGCACCTGCCCACTGGGGTGACCAACCTTGTGTCACTGCTGCTGGTCCTGGGCACGGGAAGGGGCTTGGAAATGATTTCTCATGAGCAATATGGGAAAGCTGGAGGGAAAGTGAAATTTAGTTTAGTAAAGCAAAGCTTAAATGTTTCAGTATTTCTGAGCTGATGAAGTGGAATGACAATTGCCAAGAGCAGGTCTTGGAGCATTTTTTTCTGTGCACCCAATGTACACAGCAATTAAACAAGGAAAAATTTAAGCTACTACACAGCCTGGATGGGAATGAATTAAAGCTGTAGCCTTACAAGTAGCTCTGCATAGGACTTCAGCTAGTAAACACTAGTGTGTGGCAAAGTGCATGTCCAGAGAGATCTTGGTAGAATAAAGAATAAAGGTGTGGTAATGTGTTCCTTCAACAAAACACCAACATTTGAATGGATCACCAGTATTTCAAAGCTGAATAATGGAAAGTTATACCTTAAATAAGGCAAATATAACCTTAGTGGAGAAGTAAAAAGGAGTGAATGGCCGTTTTAAAAATTATTTTTGCAGCCTCTGAGGGGAAACTAAAATATTTTAAAAATAATTGGATAACCAAAGCCACTTACCATTTTTACTAAGTCTATTTAAAATCAAAAGGTTTAAATTAGTTTTGTAGTTGTGTTTTTTTTTTCCCCAAATCTGACACAGAGAAGAAAATGCATTCTTGTGTTAGATACAGAACAGTTCAGGTGTCCAGGAGGTCTCTGGACTGGAGGTCAAGTACACCTCTACTACTGCAAGATGTCCCAGTGTTGTATGACGAGACCAGGTTTGTGGTACAGGAGGAGGCAAGGCAGCCACCTGAAGAACAAGATCCCATTCCTTTTCAGAGCAGGTGAAGGCAAAGCAAAACAAGGCATTTTATTCCACTCCTGATGCCTGTACACAGGGCTTTTGGGAAACGGCTGTTTCGTTTTTCATCAACACGTGGCATCAATCCCAATCAAGAGCCCAGAGGGAGCACGTGGTATTTTTGTGCCAGGGGGCTCCCCTGCAGACGTGGTGTTTCACAGCACTTTCAGCCTTCTCCAGCCTGCAGCAGGTCAAAGAGCTGCTGCCCTCCAGAGAAACAGCCACTGAAGCCACGCAGCTGGGTGGACTCCCCGGGGCCGTACACGGTTGTAGTGGTCTCACTGTGCTTGACTGTGATTTCTTATCTACCCTCCTAATTCTTTTATTAGGAACCTACCTCGTGCCATATTCATATCCATCCCATTGGTGACATTTGTGTATACGTTCACCAACATTGCATATTTCACTGCCATGTCACCCCAAGAGCTCTTGTCCTCCAACGCTGTGGCGGTAGTAAGTAAACCATTCCCTGGATGTCTAAAATACACTTTGATTTCAGTTCTGTGCTTTGCAGTGTATTTCAGTTTCTCTGCCTTCTGTTGCTTTAGACATTTGGTGAAAAGTTACTGGGCTATTTTTCCTGGGTTATGCCAGTCTCAGTGGCCCTATCTACATTTGGAGGAATAAATGGATACCTTTTTACCTCGTCAAGGTTAGATGGAGTACAATTTTATGAACATTATCTAATTTGGGGAGGGGCTGTTTTAATTTCATTTGCTAAAGAAATGTTAGCTAGAAGTTTTGGATGTTGTAGAGCATGAGGTCATTGTTGGGCATGTTGGGTACATTCAGTTATGAATTGCTCTGTTACAAAACAGCAAATGTCATACTGAATTGCAGAAACTCTTGCAAAATTATCCTTATGAGCTCCTGAAAGTGTCTGCAGATGTGGACTAATTCACAGGAAGAGACAAAATGGCTTTAGTGTGGAATCAAAGGCATTTTGCATCAATAAAGCTCCACTAGCTACAAGCTAAACTGTTCTTTGCTCAGAGAGGAGTTTTAGGACCTGATGCTCTTCCCAGTTACAGACATTTTAATTCCCATGCTGGAAAAAACTCCTTTTAGGCAAGATGCTTTACATGCACACTGCTGATAGGGGGGCCAGAATCTGAAAAGTCTATTACATTGTAGTCTATAGTCTGTTTATATTAATTGACCGCTTGGAACTTAATTAAAAAATCATACCATTTTTTTGAGGAAATGATTCAAGTCTTAATTACCTTGCAAAAGTTATTTATCTCAGCACTTTCATGAGTATAATGAAATACAAGAAATCTGAGTGCAAATCTAACAGGTCATACACTTAAAAGTGAAATCTTTAGGCATATTAAACCTTATCCAAACCCCTTTTGACTCTAGAAATATTATTTATGAGAGCTTTTATGCCTTGGCTATGTATGGCTGATCAACATGCAACCTTCACAGTGTTCATCCCACCCTGGGTAAGGAGGCAATGCCAGCCAGCAGACAGGGACTGGACAGATTTTGGTCTTCATCCTCAGAGGTAATTCAGCATGTCAGAGCAGGTCATGTCACAGATGACATTAGCTGTTAAAGGCCTCGTACACTGAAGGATCTAGTTTCAATTTCCACCAGGTTGTGCAGGCAGTCTCTAGTCACTCCCCATTGCAGCCCAGCACCCACAGGCTGCAGCTCCCTCCCACCGCCAGACCGGTGCGGGCAGTTTTGGTGAGAGGTGTTGCATGGCTAGATACTGAGGAGGCCATTGCACACCCAGTGCATTCAGCTCTACTTTTCTTACTTCCAGGCTGTGTTTCTCTGGTGCCCGAGAAGGCCATTTGCCGAGTTTGCTGGCCATGATCCACGTCAAGCACTGCACACCCATCCCTGCCCTGCTCGTCTGCGTAAGTGTTACCATCCCTGCTCTGTCCCCCCGTGACCTGCTTTTAGAAACACTGCATCCTGGATTAGAGAGATGGAGAAATCCTGGAGAGGACATTTTACCCCAGAGGAGGAAGAGCGAGTCAGCCTGGAGTGCTGCTGGTGGGTGCTGGCTGGCTAACTCTGACAGTCCCAGGGAGGAGCAGCCTTCAGCCTCAGAAATAATCCCTCCTATTGCCAACCACCCTTGAATTGGTTTCCCTCATACCTAATCTGAGCTGTGATTTAAGTCCATTACCACTGGTCCTACTCACTGCAGAGACAGAGACTGGCTTTTGAAACAGAGATACTTCATTTAAAGGATGGCAAGCTCTTTTGACCAATTTTGTCTGCTTTCTGCAAACACATGGAAATCCCCATGGTGACTGCAAATTCCACTCAGGCAGGGCTGGTTTAGATCCTGCCACCAAAACCAGAGACATGGCAGGTACAAAGAAGAGGACAAAGTGCTCCTAAAGTTGCTTACTTTCAACAAGCAAGACATCTTCTGAAGGATGATCAGGCAGTGCTCTGAGGACCAGGGGTATTTCTTTTCTGCAGGCAAAGAAAAATTAAGTACATAGTAAGACAAAGAAAAATTACAGTGGCCCTGAATTATGCATCTGCTGAATGGTACAACAGGAAGACAAGAGGTCACCTGTGAAGATCAGAAACCTATGAGTAAAGTGTAGGGAGGTTGGAGCTGGTCAGTTTGCTGGTATGCTCCTGCAGGAAAAAGATTTCTCTTGCTTTTTATACAGTGCAAATTTTCACAACATTAATGACTTACACAAGTTATAACTTGAAACTAAAGAGCTTCATACACTTTCACCAATAGTGAAGCTAGAATGTGTGATGGGGTTTAATGTAGCATAGAAGGCGTTAAAGAGGAAAATGACTCCTGGTGCTGCTGTCCCCATCTGTACATCCCGAGCAAGGAAATTCCCTGAAGAGCATTTGCTTAAAATCTCAGCTGCATCAACTGCTGCCAAGTGCAGATTTGCCACTGATAGCAAAACAGTGAGGGTTTGACCCCAGATGCACTAGAAAGATACACGTTTATATGTCTCCCAAATCTTAACAGCAGTTCTGGCTCAATACATCCAGATCACATTTCACCAAATAAGCCTTCTGCACGTTCTGCTGTTATGACAAAAAAAGCATCTAGCTGAAGCTTTATGGCATTCCCAAGGCTTAGTGTCCCATCATAAACATCTTGTATGTTGCCCATGCTAGGTCTCAGGGTAAACTCCCCACAGCCAGCCCTGCCGTGGGCAGCTGGAGAGCACCGGCCCCATCCTGGGCTCCTGCTGGGCACTCTGCCACTGACCAAGAAGCAGAACCCTTAAAAATACATCCCCTGAGGTAGCATGCTGTGTTTCAGAGCCCCAGGAGGAGCAGGCTGCCTGAGCCGAGCTGGCGGGTCCATCAGGCACACGCCAGGCCCTGCTCTGCTCCCACCATTCCCCTTGAGCTCCAGCACAAACTGCAGTGCCGGCGCCGCCGATCCGTTCATCAGCTGAAGGTGCCTGAATGCAGCCCAGGGCCTATCAACTGCTGCTAGGAAATATTAACATAGAAATATAAAAATTAGACAGTGTAGGCAGCTATATTAGCAAACTGGGTCAGACTTTAGGCAAACCTAATTAATACGTCAGGTTCCTCTTTCTCTTCCAATGAATCACACCTAGCTCTTTGCATGGAGAAAGGTTTCTTTGTATGTGGAGAAAAGCCTTTTTAACATCATCAGCGAGTCCTGCATTTTTGTTAATCCTTTCAAAAAGCTAGGAGCCAAGCTAGATGTAAAATAAACAGACTGGGGTTTTTTGCAAGCCCGTGGGGAGCACCCGTCTCTGCCGTGGCCGGGCAGGCGGGGGGGGCCGCCCGCCCCCCCCCCTGCCGCCGTGCTCTGCAGCCTTGTGCCACCGGGGGTCACGCCCACGCCGAGGGCAGATCTGGCATATCGGTGTCACCGACACACAAAACCTCACCCCTCCCTGCGGCATCACCCCGAAACCCGGGACTGGCAGAAGAGGGTCGTGTGTGTGTGCGTACGACATCACGCCCCTGACAGAGGGAAGCACGGAGCCTGTTACGTGACACCGACAGAAAACACTCTCCGTTTTAAATCCATCTTGTGGTGAGACTGCTCAAGGTGTTGAAACCCCCCTGCCAAGCCTGCGAGGCTTTGAACAGGGGAACAGAGGGACCAAAGGGTGGCTTGACTGCAGTGATTCTCAACTCCTGGTGCCAGCGATGCAGAAGCCCTTCCTCCCGAGAGCACTTTGCTATTGAAACAGCTAATTAAGAAAAAGCAGAAAGAAAGACATAAGCAAAAAGAAAGCCTGGAGTAACACAGACCAAAATCCCGAGCTCTCTCTGGAGGGATCTGGATATTTAGTTTCCCTCAGGTTCTGACTACCAGCAGACAACATTCCCTGGTGCAGGCAGGGGCTCAGCTCAGCTCCTGGGGTACCAACAGGCAGGGATGTGGGGCATGGGGAGTAATCCTCTGGTCCCCAAACCAGCTCTCCTGGCTTTACAGAGTTATACAAAAATACAGTACTAAGCAAGCATAGGCATGAAAATTTCCACCATCCATCTGCCAGTTCCCAAACATGTAATGCTCAAAGGATTAATGATGCTGGTCATCTGCAGCATGAGCTGTGGGCCAGCAGGGGGAAAGGGCAGAGCTCTTGTCTTTATAAAAGTACAGGGCACCTGCAACAACGCAGTGCACAGAACATGTCCTTACCACACAGTTCAACAGCTTTTAAAACACCTAAGAGAAATGGGTGGGTGGAGTGGGGCAATGGAGAGCTCTGCCAGTCCTCCCAGCACTGCCTGCCTGGCCATGGGCAGCAGAGCCACCTCTGCCAGCACCCTGGGGTATTTATGAGCAGACCTGCTGATCTCTGGCTTCAGTGCCCTAAATAACACTAAATCCCCATTCAGCCCCGGGGGCACAGCTGAGGGATAATGCACCAAATCACAGGAGGCAGCAGATGCCCAGCAGGGGCCATAAACAAAAGAAGTATAAATGCTTTAATGGTTTTATTTTTTTGTTTGCTGTTGTTGGTTTTAAGCTACCTTAGTGACTCAAGTAAGGCTATCCTTCTTTCTTTGCAGTGTTTGGCCACTCTGGTCATCATGCTTGTTGGAGACACATACACACTAATCAACTACGTGTCATTTATTAACTACCTCTGCTATGGAGTGACAATTATTGGCCTGATAGTGTTACGCTGGAAGAAACCCAAAATCTTCAGACCTATCAAGGTGACAATGTTAAAACTAAATCTCTTGGTTGTGATAGCAATGCAAAGGGTGAGATGAGCACACCAAGCCCTTCATCCTCATGTTTTGAAGAACAGATTTTTTTTTTTGTAGAGGTAGCATTTTAAAGTCCCAAACTACATCCCAAAGTACCATCAGTGTACTAACAGGATACACAGGCAGATGCCTTGTGAACTTGTGTGGATAGGCAGAGAGGACAACAGTGGTGGAGGGAAGGAAGGCACAGCCTGTGGGGGTCCTGAAGCCACAGCACTCCCTGCACACCCTGCCACCAGTCAGCCGCTGCTGTTGCTCTGCACATTCATGCTCTGCTCTGCTCTCTCCTGATAGGTGAACCTCCTCATCCCCATCACTTACCTGGCATTTTGGGCATTTCTGCTGATCTTCAGCTTATATTCTGAGCCAATTGTCTGTGGAGTTGGACTCATTATAATTTTAACTGGAGTACCAGTGTTTTTCCTTGGAGTCTACTGGAGAAATAAACCAAAGTGTGTAAATAGGCTAATAGGTAAGCCATCACTGCAGTGCCTCCCTGCGCTCCTGGGGCTGCTGGTTGTGCTTGGGTCTGCAGGGCCCTGCTTCATCTCAGACACACCAGCACTGAAACAGCCAGGGAACCACCCACACCAGCCTGACCACCACATCGGTCACAGGCAGCCCCTGGGCACAAAGTGGTCAGACAGCCCTTGCCTTACGACAACCGCTTTGCTCACTCCTAGGCACCTCTTCCTCCTTTCGTGCCCTTGTGCAACTCCCCGTACACTCGGCTCACTCATGGCAGCCTGTCCTGGAGTAGATACACTGGAAAGTGACTTTAAACACACAAAGGCTAAATGAGCTACCACAAAAGGATTAATAAATGGCCAAGAGTTCTGCATCTCCCTTGCCCTGCTCTCCTCTCCCCACTGTGCCACCTCCCACTGCACAAGGCCCACATGGCATAATGAAGCGCTTCCTACTCAAAAATAAGAAAGCCTTATGCTGTCACTCCTGTAAAATCAAAACAGCACACAAGTCTTTCATGTTCTTCTTGTGTTTGGCTTTTGTGTCGCTCTGAGGCGAGGACTTCCAAAGGAGCGCGCTGCGGCCCTTTGCTCTGAGGGGAGGGTTTCCTGGGGCCATGTTGAGGCCCCGCCGGCAGCTCCCCGGGCCCAGCTGCACCTCACGAGGGCCAGCGGCCACCCCAGCCCTGCCAGCCTGCCGTGCTCCATCAGGGGCTGGGTACAGGCTGCAGCCGGGCGTCCCGAAAGCTGCCCCATCTCAACCCACCCCTGCTTTGCAAGCACTGCTTTATGGCCGAGCTGGAGGTGACAGGGTTGGAGGGGGTGGTCGGAGGGTCGAGCGGCCCTGCCGGGAGGACGCTCCCTCCTTGCGTGGCCCCAGCATCGCGCCTTTCTTGGGAGAGCTCGATCACCCCCACTCACCACCTGCACATTTACTCTTCACAGAGTCCATGACGTG